ATTAACAAAAAGTTACATATTTAAGTAAAGTACACTATTCCGATTATCGCCACAGCTAGCCACCGCTGTCTAGAAAAAATATAGCCAACTATTCTATTTTAAATTGGCGGGTATTTTGCGCTTTTTGTAAGCAATTTTTATATTTGCAAGAAATATATTTGGTAAATTTAAGCTCCATTGTATTATACACGTTATAAAATAGTGGTTATTTTCGAAGTAAAACATAATTTTATTTTTTATTTTTTTTACTTACTTTTTATAAAAAATCTAAATCTAAAATATTTAAGCATTTCCCAAAGTAGGGTTAATGATGAATTTCCACTAAGCATTAAATGACAAAAATTTTAATGATAACGTTGGACATTACGTTCATAAAAATAGCCATTAGTGCGTTTCATGAAACATCGCAAAGTCGCATTTTTGGTGATATGGCAGCTTTGCGAACAAAACTTTACGAACGACCTATCGCAACTCCGGATTGCAAATGTAAATTTTATTCAAAATGCTGCACATAAGTGAAAAAGAAATGTTTTGACCATTAAATACAGTGGCATTTTATTTTTTTTTTATTTTTTTTTCAAAGTATTTACAAATTGTTAGCTACTTGATAGCTTTTGAATAAATCTGGATATTAAATATACTGTTATGAAAAATGTATGTATGCTTTAAAAATTACAATGATAGTTTGGTCAGATCGCCGTGTTTTGTTTCTTTGTAAAACTTAAGTAAATTACGTTATTTAACCAAATATATTAATCGATATTCAGAGATTGACTTATTTTTTGCCGATTTCTGCCAGCATAGATTTTGTTTATTTCGAATCGAATCGATTCAAAAATCGTTTTTTTTTGATCTGGTTCTCTAACTATGAACATGTAGGATACACGGCGCATGAGTAACCTTCCTTTCTGGTCATATCTATACATAGTATAAAGGAAAGTCGAGATTCTTTGAACATATAAAATTTACTGTTGATAGAGAGAGAGAGAGAGAGAAGCACGCATAACCGTCGCGCGTACACGGTGGTGATTTTTCATTTACATGGCGCTCTCACAAGTTTGATCGTGTCAGCTGACACGTTAACGTATTTTTTCGTCAGTGAGTGCGGGCTGACCGGATCAAACCTACGAGAGTGGCATATAAATTAAAACTCACCACCGTGTACGTGTGACGGTTACGCGTGCTTCTCTCTCTCTATCTATCAACAGTAAATTTTATTTGTTGCTACGCCAAACAGACACGGCATACGTAGACGTCGGTGAGTGTGGGCACCTTTATGCATAAAAAGTGAGCTTAAGCTCCGACTCGATTTTCAGTACAAATTCTTGAGCTTAAGCTCACTCCATCAGTGCAAAAATTTTGTCTGAGCTTAAGCTCTCTTTTTATGCATGTGTATACACTTTTACTTTGGAGAATTGATTTAGTGATGGGACAAAAACAAACCGATTTTATAGTGCAAACTTCTGAATCTTAAGGCATTTTAAATTTCAAAGTTTTCACACACTTCATTAAAGCAGAATGGAGATATTAAAGGCAGACCATATACAGACCATGTAGATAAACGTGCATACATACATACATACATACATATAAACGTAAGTGTGAATAAACATTGCAAATAAGTACAGTGGCGATCAAAAGTGGATGAATGGTGTTTCGTATTTAATATTTACAATGTTTTTCGAGCTATAATTTTTTTGATATTTTTTTATAAAAATATGGTTCATGCTTTACCAAAAATTACATAAATCACACTTTTCAGCTTTATACGGAATTTAGAAAAAATCCACAAATTTGAATCTAAATTTCGAGCTTTTCAACTAAAATTATTTAAAATTTTTGGGTATGCGTTTAATAGGATTATACAATTATAGTAAAACTAGTGCAAGTTTGGAGCGGCTAAACAATTTTTAATAATTTTTTTGTTGAAGGCATTTTGAACTTTTTTGCACATAAACATGAATTTTTTGTGGAAGAATATGCGCAAGACGTTTTGCAAAAAAAAAAAAATAAAAACGTCAACGCCAGTTTTCCTAAATTTCACTCTTTATATGAAAGAAACCTAAACAGCCATCAGCAAAAAAATATTACAAATCAATGCGATCAAAACTTGCACTAGTTTTATTGGAATTTTATGACCTTGTTAACTGCATACCCAAAAAATTTTCAAAAGCCCGAGAATTTGGATAAAAATTTATAGAATTTTTCTAAATGCTGTATAAAGTTTGAGTGTGTGATTTATATGGTTTTTCTTAAAGCGTGAACCATATTTTTATAAAAAAAATAATTTTAGCTTGAAAAACATTGTAAATATTAAAAATGAAACACCATTCATCCATTTTTGATCGCTACTATATATACATAGATAAACATTTGCGAATGTAGGGAGCTGAACAGAAATTGGCGCCTACTAAGCGCATTGCCACTCCTGCAGTGTATGAAATATTTAGAAAAGATGAATATATAGCATTTATGTTACGTATGTATGTATATGTATATGAATATATGTATACATGTGTGTTTACATATGTCCATGTAGATTCAGAGGCGTATTATTTGTTAATGCACACCGGTAGCGAAATTAATATTTCTTGATTGATGAATACTGACAATCTTTTTCGCACATGACTACATTACCATTAAAACCTTAAAAAGTGTAAAATGAAAAATGGTAAAATGAAAGTTGTATGAAGGCTAAAAATAATATGATACATGTATACATTTGTATACACGCGTGGATGTACAGGGTGAGTTAGGGTAAGTATGTTTACTATTGCCAAATATAATTCTTAAGGCTTAAAGCAAGAAAATTTCTTTTCTTTGCGATTCACGTTGTGTCTCTGTTTGGGCTGTAACAGTCTGTTAAATGAATAAGTGCTGAGGTTGATCTAAAGACCCTCTAATATCATAGGCAGAGGTCTTTAAAGTTCAATAAAACAACAATATTTGTACTGTAAACAAGATTTACTTTATAGCCAAAATCATTGAATATAGTTATGGGAACCTAAAAGTTGAAATAGGAACTGTCAGCTATTCTGAACCCAGAGGACACCCATAGATTTAAATGGAAAGAAAGAAGGCAGATTATCGGTAACACCCAAGGATGGCAATTTTGTTTGGAAAGAAAGCACATCTAAGAAAAAAATCACTTCAATTTTACAAACATACATGCTTGAACATAAATATGTATGTATCCTCAAAGTCGAAATTGCATTTATTACACAGAAAAATTTGACTCAGACGACGAAGAATTTGACGAAGAATGAAAAAGATTTATAGGTGAGAAAAATAAAGAAAAATTCTAATAGATTTTTAGAATATCTAACTTAAAAAATATATGAAAGAAAATCTTTAGATGTATTTGTTTAGTTGAAAAAAATAATCTTTTCAGAGAAAATAATATTGAAATCTAAATAAGCAGAAAACAAGTCAATATACTTAAACTTGATAATACTTGTTCAACTTAGGAAATTAGCAGGTGTGTTGGCACTGTGTGCAATGGTAACCCTGCGTGGTTGAAAGCCATGCATTGGTGTCCCTTCGGCGTGGGCTTAGCGGGGGTGTAGAATACATTAGGTGTAAGGTGTTAAAAGTCGCCTTAACAATTAGGTCATACTAGCGCTATGTTTCATGTTCTGGTTGGAGGTGATATCCTTTCAATCAACCACAATATCAGTACATGCTCTAGGGGTTTCCTATGGAAATCCTCAGAGAGTACCACTACAGGTATCCAGTGAGATTACTTAGCCCCCCCTTAAGATTAAGTAGTTGCTCAGAGACTCCACGTCAATTCCAAGTTCTAAATACGTTGGCCTCAGTACTCCCATCATAATGCTACCATTTACGAACGGTTTTAAGACACTCACATGACTCGGATTTCTTCATTTCTCATGACGCTCAGGTTCGGCAGTCTCAGTCCACTGCAACAAGCAGTACGACCTGGGTTCGATTATTGGTGCAAAATAAATTAAATTAATATTATAATTATAAATTAAATTTTTTTTTTAACAGCGATGTCACCTCGGTAGACAATGGCAAACCTTCGAGGGTTTTTCTGTCATGAAAAATCTTCTCTCAAGCTAAATTTGCGTAATTGGCGGAGAAGCTCGACAAAACAACAGATAAAGTGTAAGCAACAAAATATTATTGAAATTAGAGACAGCTCTACAGCTTAAATGATGATTCATTGAAAAATAGCATTTTTTGTATTTTTAGCAGATACTGGGCCTCATGCTTAGAAATGAGCTAAAGCTCAGACTCAACTTTCGCACTGATAGAGTGAGTTTAAGCTCAAGAATTTGTACTGAAAATCGAGTCGGAACTTAAGCTCGCTTTCTATGCATGAAGCCCAATGTCTTTTTTAATAATTTAATATATCTGTGCGCTTTAATCCTTTATTATATAATAAGTAAGTAATACCTTATAAAAATGATTTCGAAGTAGTTTGAGCATAACTACTATCACTTTTTGCTTAAGAAAAATTTAAAACTTTTTCAAGTAACCATTTTCCTATTTTTTTTCTGAAAAAGCCCAACACGCGTATCGTCAATAAAAAGTCAACAGTATCCACAGAATATGTACCTGTTTGAGAAAGGTGCAAAAAGTGCTGGTAGCACACATTAAAAGAAATGATAATAAATACAAATACGACGCATTGCACTGGTTTTTATCCAAGCAAATAAAATTGCATGCGTGTATTTACGTAAACACACAATTTTTTAATTAAAAATGAAGTGCTGCACGAATGCAAATTTGCCAGCACTTAATGGAATTGCGTATGGTAGGAAAAATGCAAATGATACGTACATAAATAACTTGTATTTCATAGAGCATAAAATCGTAGAATTTTTTCGCATTTCGCATTATATCAAATTAATTAACACATTTTATGCCCATTAAATTCACAAGATAAGCGGCTTATTGATACATAAATAGAAGCAAATACATGGACTCTGTAATAATTTTCTAAACATTTCATTTCTCACTTTTTCTACTTCCAGCTGGTACACGCACAACGGTCCCGGCCCATTGCCCGTGCTTAGTGGTCCACGCGTGCGTCTACTCGGTCCAATACTCGCCATCGAGGCGGTAACTAGCGAAGATTCTGGTGTCTACAAATGTACTGCCAGCAATGTGGGCGGTGAAGCGAGCGCCGAATTGCGCCTCACAGTGGCCACACCCATACAAGTGGAGATCTCACCGAACATACTGAGCGTACATATGGGCGGTAATGCCGAATTTCGTTGCATTGTCACGAGTAATGGCAGTCCGGTGGGCATGCAAAATATACTGTGGTACAAGGATGGACGACAACTGCCATCATCGGGTCGCATAGAAGACACTTTGATGGTGACGCGTGTGAGTCGTGAAAATCGTGGCATGTATCAATGTGTGGTGCGGCGACCGGAGGGCGACACCTTTCAGGCGACAGCGGAGCTGCAGTTAGGAGGTAAATATCTACTCGTAAATATTTGTAGATCGAATATGTATTTATAAATATTACTCAATTTAGCATTCACTGACCTTTATACGACCAGTTACTATTTTTTTGATTCATAAGTATTAGTGTTATGTTTATGTATATGTGTTGCCAGTATACCAAAATGTTGGTAAATATGCATGTATGTTGTTGCTTCATAATAATTGCTTAAAAATTTGTCTGAATTGTGGTGAACGCCATTTTGGTTGAACGATGCTGAATAATGGCTTTTCGTTCAATTTCCGGTATGTGTTGTTGCTATTTTGCACTTTGTTGCTTAAATGCACAAGCTTATTTCAATATGTACTTATGGAGCTGAACAGAAATTATTTCATTTTGTATGGAGTAATGACCATGGAAATTATTCTTATATCCGTTTTGCCCGAAGGCGTCAGACATTAATATTCATAACAATAAATTTCGAATAATCACTATTTAACTGCTAGCATTCGAAAAAAATTATTACAAATATGTGTGTGCATGCTTGTGCGCGTTAGCATATACATGTATGTAGACATATGTATGTACACCACGTGTCAAAATCATAAGCGCACCACATATTGACTAGTTTTAAAAATTAATTTTTTAGTTTTGCTTTTTCATTAGATTTCTTAGAAGTATTTTGATTTGTAGCCCATTATATTCTAATTGAAAAACTCGAAATTTTTACGAAAGTTTGTTGATGTTTTTTTTTAATATTGTACAAAGTCTGAAACCTATATTTATGCGGTTTTGTAAGAGAATAAACTATATTTTTATAAAAAAGTTTCTAAAATTAAATAACATCAAAATAAAAATGCCAATATATGGCGCGCTTGTAATAGTGAAACGGTGTGTATTTAACTACATTTTTGTGCCAATACATATGACGATTTAAGTTAAGCAACCACCGGTTAAATTAAGAAAAGTTTAGCCAGAGAAAATGTGTGAGAGATATGGCTTTCCACTTCCACAAATGAATGGTGGAAACTGGTTTGTTCAATTTTAAAGATGTAAATGTATATATCTTATTTTTCATAGCTAAGTTTCTTGAAATACCGTAAAAGTAGAAACATAACGCACGTAAATTATTAAAGCCGTTTTTTTTTCTATTCTTGAAAGATAATAATTTTGTCGCTTACAAGGTTATACGCGGTGACCATTCAAATATTCCACCTACATTCCAATCCAATGTCAAGAAATCAAAATCAAAATTTATTATTTTGTAAACTTTAAGGATTTGTTAGATTTTCCGATTTTATTATATGCCTTAGTTTCTTAAAATTTAAATATATAAGTTACCATTTTCAACGATTTTTATTTTAAGCGAATATAATTTTTCCAAGGGCGGACGTATCTGGGATTTTCTTCATAGAACTTTTGTTATGCATTTCTTAAATTTCAGTGTGAAATTTTATTCGCAAAATTTAAAGAATAACGAATTGTTTCACAGTTTGCTTAACACGCATTTGGGTTTGGATATAGTTCCAACACATGGGCCAAATATTACAGATATTGCCTTCCCAAAGAGCGCATATTCGAATCTGCCTTAATTACAAAACATCGTTGTAGCGCACAGTAAAAGGTTTAAGGTAAGGGAAAATGGAATATTTTCAAACACCATGTGCACTAGGCAACAAACGAAAGTGTAAACCTTGTTCTGAAATCAATTGATATCTATCACCGTGCGACAGTCAATTTTACACACGCAAAAATCAATATATTCACAAAACTGGGAGCGAAATATAGTAAAACAGCGTTATTAATTTTTCTCTCTGACGTCAGGATTTTTTAAAAGGACTTTGAAACTTCTAGAATATGACTGAATAAAAAAATTATTCAAAAGATGCGTGGCATTGTAGAATAACAATATGAGTATAAATTAAAAGGAAAAAATTCTGTAAAAATTTTATTTTTGGGTGCACCAGGACGAATAAGTATTGAAAATGTCCTTTTAAAATTTTATCCTTGAATATCCTTGGACATTTTCAATATTTATTTTTGAAAAAAATATGTGTCAATGATTGATACGTTAACTACCACATCTTCGAATTTCATCCTTCTCACTTTATTAGGTTTAGATAAAACAAATTTACACTTCTCTTATAAGATATTGATAGTTGCAATATACATAAATGAAGATACTAGAATCATTATTATAGAACCATGTATGCACTCTAAAAGAACAAACTGACCGTATGATATAACTATGGTTTAATACTTTAATTGTTTTGTATACAAGGGCGTAGCCAGTCTTTCATCTAGGGGGCAAGAGTTTATATAGAGGGAAAAAATGTTTTTAATTATATTTTTTTTTGTGTATATAAAAAGAAATTTTTGGGTTTAAGAAAGTAGAAGTTTTCTGGTAGCCTCTACAACAATAAAATTGTTTTAAAAATCGGTTAATAATTTTTTTGTTTAAAAAAAAAAAATATTTTTCTTTATAAAAAAAGAAAATTTTTGCTTTCAAGTGTTTTTTCTCAAATTTTTATACACGAAGTATACAAATATGCCAACCGCAAGAAAAGAGGTTCAATCGCCTTTACAACGATACCAAATTCTTAAAAATCGGTTAGTAGTTTCTTTGTCAATTTTTTATTTTTTTATAGGAAAATGTATTCTTAACTTTAAAGTGTTTTTCCTCAAATTTCTATATACAAGGTATACAAATACGCACACCAGAAGAAAGGGGGTTCAATCGCCTTTACAACGATACCAAATTCTTAAAAATCAGTTAGTAATTTCTTTGTCAATTTATTTATTTTTTTATAGAAAAAGGTATTTTTTCCTTTTAAATGTTTTTTCTCAAATTTTTACATGCAAAGTATACAAATATGCATATCAGAAGATAAGAAGGCGGTCTAGTCGTTTACAACGATACCAACTTTTTAAAAATCAGTTAAAAATTGTTTGAAATATAAGGTTTTCAATTTTTCAAGAACCCGACCTTTGCCCCTTATAGCACCTGTAATATAAGTTTGCCTAAAAAAAGTTATAAACCATTAAATAAGAGCAAAAGGCGGTCTACGGAAATTTCCAAGGATATTCAAGGATAAAGTTTAAAAATGACATTATCAACATTTATTCGTCCTGGTGCAACAAAATGTTAATTATTTTTTAATTCTACAGCACTTTTCCTTTTAACTGATACCCATATTGTTACTCTACAATGCACCAAATCTTTTAAATAATTTTTTTATTCAATCATATCCTGGAAATTTCAAAGCTCTTTAAAAACAAGTAAGAGCAGCGCTGTCTTCGGCTATGCCGAAGGCTTCATACCTTTCATGAACATCTGCAAATTCTACTTTGACATATTACTGCTTTTGAATACATCTGCATACATCGATAGAGGAGTTACATACTTATATAAAAAATCGCATCTCAACAATCAGAGGTATGGAAGATATACTTTATATGACACCAATCTAAG